TTGAAAAACTAATGACAGAAAACTTCCCTAACTTGGTGAAGGAAACAGACATACAAGTCCAGGAAACACAGAGAGTCCCAAACAAGATGAACCCCAAGAGGCCCACACTAAGACACATCATCATCAAAATGCCAAAGGTTGAAGACAGAGAGAATCTTAAAAGCAGCAAGAAAAAAGCAGTTAGTTACCTACAAGGGAGTTCCCATTAGACTGTCAGCTGATTTCTCAAAAGAAACTTTGCAGGCCAGAAGGGAGTGGCAAGAAATATTCAGAGTGATGAAAAGCAAGAACTTACAACCAAGATTACTCTATCCTGCAAAGCTGTCATTTAGAATCGATAGCCATATAAAGAGTTTCCCAGACAAGGAAAAGCTAAAGTTGTTCATCACCACCAAACCATTATTATATGAAATGTTGAAGGGTTTTCTTGAAGAAAAAGATAAAAAATATGAACAAACAAGATGGCAATGAATACATAACTATCAACAATTGAATCTACAAACAAAATGAACAAGCAGACCAGAAACATTTTCATAGATATAGAGAACATTTTGTTGGTTGCCAGATGGGAGGGGGGATGGGGGAATAGATAAAAAAGGTGAAGGGATTAAGAAGTACAAATTGGTTGCTAGACTGACAAACCTCAAAGGGAAGGGGGGTTAGGGGGTGGGAAGAAATAAACCAAAGAATTTATATGCATGTATGCAAAACTAATGGACACAGACAACAGTGTGGGGAAAGGCAGGAAGGGGCAGGAGTGGGGAGGAGGGGTCAATGGGAAAAAAATGAGGAACATCTGTAATACATTCAATAATAAAGATAAAAAAAGAAAAAAAACATAATACATATTATATATTATTGTATAAAATATAATACAATAACATATTTTTTTTCAGTGTGTTATAATCCACTAAACTAGCCCAGGTTAGTTCAGATTTAGCCAGTGGGAGACCTTTTAAGATGGCTGCAGGGAATGTAATAGATATACATTTAGCTGAAATTTGGGGCATCATGGCTGTGTAGCAAATCAGAATGACAAGACTTTAGGATTTCTTTTTTGTTTTGTTTTGTTCAGACAGAGTAGGAGGGAGAGAGAGGAAGAGAGAGAAACATCTACGTGAAAGGGACACATCAAGTGACTGCCACCCGCACAACCCAACCAGGGCCGGGGACAAACTGCAACTGAGGTACGCTCCCTTAGCAGGAACCGAACCCGGGTCTGTCTGGACCACAGGCGGACGCTCCAACTGCTGAGCCAAACTGGCCAGGGCTAGGATTTCTTTTAAGGTCTCAAGTTCTCCATCTCAGAATGGTGATGGTGATGGTGATGTCAATCCTTATGATGCAGGCACTTTGTCAAACACTTCATGTGCATTTTCTCACTTGATTCTAGCAACTGTTATTATATGATCCCCATTCTATAGAGAAGGAAACTGAGGCCCAGGGAAGATTAGGGAGACTCAGGGAGGCCCACGGTTGTACACTGAATAATGATGGAGCAGATGGTTCCGTCAAACTTACAGCATTCACTGCTGTGCTTATAATGCCGTGTGAGTGTGGATGTATTCATCTCACCAGGGACAGACTTGTATGGGAGACTTCACCTTGGGAGAAATGTAGAGGATCTTCATCTTTCTTCCCAAAATTGCCTTCAGAAACTACCCTTAATGATCAGCCAGACTCCAATTGCTTAAATAAAAACAGACCAGGAGTGCTTTAACATATTGAAGGAAGTTAAGAAAATTATCACATATATATAGTATCTTTTTATTTTTAAAGTAACATAACCACATTTAAATGTTTTGAAATGAATGGTAAAGACCTCCTGTGTCTACTCATAGTCTGACCAATGACTTTTGACATTTTTCTGTTTTCTTTTAAAAATGTTTTTTAATTTATCTGATTAAAAAAATATTTTTTATTTATTGATTTTTAGAGAGAGAGGAAAGGAGAGAGAAAAATAGAAACATCGGTGAGAGAGAACATTGATTGACTATCTCCTGCATGCCCCTCACTGGGGATTGAGCCCACAACCTGGGCACGTGTCCTAACCGGGAATTGAACTAGTGACCTCTTGGTGCATGGGTCAATGCTTGACCACTGAGCCACACTGGCTGGACCAATTTATCTGATATTCAGTTAGACGTAATCAATTAGAGTGTCTCTAAAATGTTGTCTCCTGCTTTTTCTAATCTAGTAAGCAAAATCATTTTTTTGATGAAAATATACTAGAGTTTTAATTTCCATAGTAGTTGGCCATTAATTTTTATTACTACAATTTAAAAAAGTGGTCTAGATAAAAATGTACCAAGTACCCAGGGAGAGGGTGTCTGAGGAAAGGCAGAGTGTGGAAGGAAATCTATGAGAGGAGGAGAACGTACACTGGACGGCGGAAGCATGGAAGAAAGGCAGACAATGGTTGCACCTTGCGGAAAGAATTCATCAATAGTGAAGTTTGAACAGAATGTTTGGGATGGACAGGGCTTTGCAGAGAATAGAGAAAGGAATTCCTGTAAAAAGTAAAGAGTGTACAAAGTCAGAGAGGTGGCAAAATATTTGACTTGGTTGGGTGTAGGTAGTTTGGATTCAGGAAACCACAGGAACTGATAGCAAGGGGGCTGGGCAGTTGGACAGCAGCTAGGTGGTGTGGGCCTAGGCTGCCATTTGAAGGGGATTAGAGTAGATTCATTAAAGCCATTGGGTAATTTTGAGCAGCAGAGGTCTTATAACCTATTGGCATTGCAAACAGTTCCCTTTGATGGTAGTGTGGAGGACAGATTGCATTTGTGAATGACAGAAATGAAGTTCAGAAGGGGATGCGTTAGAAGGTTATGGGTTGTATCAAGAGAAGTTTGAGACTAGTGCCATGTTATATGAACAATTTACATCTTTAGTGTACAAATTATAAGAATGTCAGATGTACTAGCAACTTTTGGAGGTGCGTGACATTTCTCCTGGTCCACATCAGGGGCAACGTCTAGGGTGGCATATCTGTGTGCAGTGCCTGGCAAAGCAGTGGGGGCAGGGAGGACTTGCCAAACTGTGAACCCTGGCACAGGCTGTATCCACCAGCGGAGGTTCTGTTTTCCTAATCGCACAGAAGCAATATGACTGACAGCAGCCCCATTAACTCCCTTTGTTCCAGAATGAATTTTGTTAGAATAAGCAATGGGATAAAGTATCAACACCAAGAGATGGAGACCAGTCAAAATTTCCAGTATGCTCCATCAGAGACAGCAGTAAGCAACATTAAGCTAGTACCTGCTCTGCTTTTTAGCTTTCCAGAAAGGTGATATTTCGTCAAAGGTCTGAGAAGCCTGGGGCCCTCAAGCATAATCCACGCCCAGTCCTTGTGGGCACAAATGGGCAACAGCCTTCAAGTGTTGTGCTATTCAGCCATAACCCTGTTATCTCACTGGGGGCCAATTCAGTGGTCATACAAGCCACTCACAGTTTGCAGGCATAATGCTTAGACACAGAGAGGCTTGACTTCGTCATTTTGTAACATTCTATGTTTGTTATCTCTTGTGGTGAGCGGTACTGTTTGGTTTTTGGGAAAGGCACATACAAATCTTCATGTGTTTTAGGTAAGAACAATTAGAGCATTAGTCATCTTTGTTAATCCCAATGATTTCTCTCATACATAAAATAACCCAAAATGGTAATTAAAAAAAATTTTGGCAAATACTGATTTCTAGTCTAAAAGAAGATTTGACCCGGGCTCTCCTAGAAAGGGGCCCTCACAGAGTTTGCTGTCATGAAGCATCTGGACAAGGAGGGCTCTTCTTGTGCAGGGCTTGGAGCGTATGATTACTTAAGCTGAACTTTGTTTCTCCAGGGGTGATAGGGTAAATGGATGCCTCTAGAGCAGAGGTGTGCAGGCTGCGGGTCTGCCAAAAAAGGGGACGGTTTTCACATTTTTAAATAGTTGAAAAAAGTCAAAAGAATATTTTCTATGACATTACATTTCACATTTTAGTGTCCATAAACAGTGTTTTGTGGCCACTGTCATTCATTTATGTGCTGTCTCTGGCTACTTTCAAGCTACAACTGCAATGTTGAGTTGCTGCAACAGAGACCAGTTGGGTTGCTTAAAATGTACTGTCTGGGTGGTTACAGAACAAGTTTGTTGATCCCTACTCTAGAGAAACAGTTTAAAGATGTTGAGGTCTGATTTATTTAAGATTTGTCTAATGCAGTCTTTTTGAAGTAAAACATAGCTTTATTGAGGTCTAATTGGCATACTATAAATGGCACATATTTAAAGTGTATAATTTGATAAATTTTGGCATATGTAAATATTCATGAAAAAATTCACCACAATCAAGATAGTGATGTATCTATTACCCACACACTTTCTCTTTGCCCCTTGATAATCCTCTCTCCTGTCACTTCCTGTCCCCCATCCTCCTGAGCATGGTCAGCTTTCTGTCCCTATAGATCAGTTTGAATCTCTAGAGTTTCATATAAATGGAATCCTACAGTAAGTACTCTTTTTTTGGTCTGGCTTCTTTCACGCAATGTTATTTTGAGATTCACCCATGTCATTGTGTATCAGTAGTTCATTCCTTTTTATTATAAAGTTATACCAGAATTTACTTATTTATTTATCTCTTGATGAACATTTGCATTTTCTCCCGTTTTTAACAATTGCAAATAAAGCCTCTATGAACATTTGTGTACAAGTCTTTGCATGGATATATGCTTTCTTTTCTTTTGGCTGGCTGTCTCTCCTCTCTCTCTCTCTCTCTCAATAATAAGCTGGAGCCCATGATAAAATTTATTGGAATAAAGTAATATCTTTATGTGAAGGAAATCTTGTTTTTTTTTTTTCTTTTCCCAAGAGAAATCATTTATTCTAAGAGTTTATGTGCTGAGTACAATCACTTGAGTAGTCCAGTCACTATCAAATATATGGTTGGAATGTTTGCTTCTGTTAATCATATGGTGAAATTTAAATAAAACATTGCTTTTCTCTTTTTAAACTTTACTCTGCTTAGAACTATTTTGGTGGAAAACTCTCTGCTCAAGGGAAAATGCCTTGGATTGAATATAATCATGAAAAAGTTTCTGGCACAGAATTCATAATTGACTTTCTGGAGGAGAAACTTGGAGTGAATTTAAACAAGCACCTCGGGCCTCATGAAAGAGCCGTGTCCAGGGCGGTGACCAAGATGGTGGAGGAGCACTTCTACTGGTGAGTCCCGGGCGCCGGGCTGCCCAGGGCCTGTCCTTGGCCTTTGGAATAAGCCAAGTTCTTTGTCACTTTTCAGCTACTCCCCAAACCTTTCCTTTAAAAAAAGCTTTTAAAAGTTTTCTGCATTCTGACTGACTTAGGGATCAAACTTAGACTGTTAAGTTTCCAGGTATGTCGAACAGGGCTGACATGTTCTGTAGAGCCCCAGCTAGTACCTGGTTTAGGCTTTGTGTGCCATATGTCTCTGTAGAAACTACAGTTGACCCTTGAACAACTTGGGGATGGGAGGCACCAATGCCCTGGGCAGTCAAAAGTCCACATGTAACTTTTGACTCCCTCAAAACTTAACTGCAACTAATAGCCTACTGTTGACTGGAAGCCTTACCGATAACATGAACAGCCAATTAACACATATTTTGTATGTTATATGTATTATTACTACATTCTTACAATAAAGTAAGCTGGAGAAAAGAAAGTGTATTAAGAAATACATTTATAGTACTGTATATATTTATTGAAAAAAATCCACGTATAAGTGGACCCACACAGTTCAAACCCGTGGTGTCCACAGTTCCAATTCACTCCACCCTGTCCTGCTGTTGTAGTGGAAAAGTGGCCATAGATGATATGCAAATGAATAAGCATGACCGTGTTTCAGTAGAAGCACTGACATATGAATTTCATTGAATACAAAAGATTTATTTTATTTTATTTTTTTGCCTCAACCATTTAAAAATGTAAATGTGTTAGCCTGTGAGCTATAGTTGGTTGACCCCTGATCTAGCCACCCCTCACTAAGGTGAGGGAGATATTTCAAAAGACTGGGCTCTTTGCCAGTACAAACCGCGGAATTAAAACAACATTTTATCAGATGCCCAGAGAAGGGGACAAAGAAGTAAATCAGGAGAGTGGTCTTAGGTGAAATAAATGACCCAAGCTTTGTAGGATTATTGTCAGTTTTCCCCAGAGGACAGGAGCGTCTCTGTATTCCAGAAGTAAAGCGTGCTACCTCTCTCTGCGTGCCTGTGCCCCGACTGCCTGACCGCTAGCTTGTATTCCCTGACTCACACTGTGTTGATGAGTGAGTCTGTTCTGCACATGGCCTTGTGCAGGCTGTGGCCCTGCGGGAGTTAAACAGGCCTGGGTCTTCTTGCTTTACAAACTCATTGTCATCTGTTTGTTTTTTCTTTCATCCATTAGTTGGAGCACCTCTCTATACCCCAGTAGATAAGAGAAGTTTTTTCTCTGATTTCTGCAAACTTTGTCTTGTTCCAAAGATTCAATAAGAATTGTTAAGCCCACTTCTTTAGTCATGAATTGTTGCCCCTGGTCAGGAGGTCACCCAGCTTTTACCTCCTGCACTAGGAGAAACACTCAGTGTGGAGTTGATATGGAAGGTTCTTCCTTGTCACCTTCCCATTTCATCCATTCAGCTCTCTTTCTAAATGGAAAACTTGTGGTTCTATCTCTTGGATTTTAAGTGCTCCTCTATTTTTCTTTTCCTTTTTCTACTTCCTGTTCTTTCCCAGTTTATTGCAGGGCTGACCTGAAACACCACTTCAGAAGGGGGTGGGAGCAAGGTGGGAGCAGGCAGGGGTGCTGGTCTGTGTGGGAGTAATCACAGACCAGGTTCCAGAACGAACCCAGGTCTTTTCCTTGTAGCAACACTGCTTGAGAACTGCTGGCCTTCCCATTTCAAAGAATGCAGGGTTCTGCAGGGAGGACCCAAAGGCATGACTCTTTGTGACATGCTTAGCCTGTGTGACGGAGCCTGTGTCATGTGCTAGCTAGATCCCAGTCCCCACAGTGATTGAGGGACATGAAGAACCAGTAGAGGGCCCTCCTACCCCTCCTTGATGTGGCCCTCCAAAGCCTACCTCATTTGATTGATGGGCCCTAATGTGGAGAGCTGGTGCTTTGTCAGCTGCTTGAAAAGAAGCCAAAGCCTTACACTGGTTGGTAGTTTTGTTACAACTCTTTGACTTCTGTAATGGTTCCTGAAATTTATATTTTGGTTAGAAAGATTCCCAAGTACCACCTGTCACTGCTTCTTGCTCTGGGTGTGTGAATGGTTTATGTATATTTACTTCATGGTAGAAGTCCATCTTCTGCTCTTCCTCCCGCTTCTCTCTCTCAAGGGCCCCTCTGATACTTGCTGGGAGCAGGGTATGGTGGGGGAGGGAGGAGTGCTGTGCGAGGGGTGGAGGGAGGTGGGAGGTGGTATCCTGGTAGGAAAGTATCTTAATTTTATGGACCACCAACCTCCAAGTGCTTGGGTCATACACAGACTCTTCTTTCTTTTTAATTAGAAAAACACTTATTTTTGGGTTAGCTACTATTTCTCATTTGTGTCTCCTCAAGAGTTCATTTGAGAAAGAATAGTTAAGGTGGAAGGTCAGGTCCTAATTTCTCCAATTCCCTTAAGTCCCTAGTAGCAGAAGGAAAAACAGACCTTTCTTTGTTTCATAAGGTTTCCAGACCTTCAGCCAACGTCTTGCTTTGGGGAGGTGCTGAGCAGCCTTTCCTGAAAGCTCTAAATGCCAGGGGAGAAAAGGTCTTGTCCTCCTTCGTGGTGAGAAAATGGGTGACACAGAACCCGCGGATTCTCCACCCTCAGGCTCCTCTCCTCCTTCCCCTTTCTGGTCTCAGAGGCAGGACAAGTGTGTACCTGTGGAGACCAGGCCAGCACAGGAGCTTGACCACAGTATGTAGGGAAACAGTGTAAGTGTGAGCTTTCCATGAGAGCCCACTCAGTTCTGACAATCCACAAGCTCCCAGGTTGTGCCTGTCCTTACAGCGGTGGAAGAGGCAAAATCAGCTGTTTAACTCGGTTGATTCAATTAGCTGGAGTTTTCAGATATGTTTATTTTGGTCTGAAACTTTCAAAATACTCCCAGGTATGGTTTTCTGCAGAGCAAAGATGATGGAAAGCTGTTATTGTTATGTAACACCTGAAACTGTTTTAGGTCTGCCCAAATAAACACGCTCAACTATAAAGTGGCTTTTTCCTTGCACTTGAAAGCCATGTAATTATGTCCTACTTGCTTTATAAATCTATTATGGAAGATGAAGAAGACAGGTTTTTATCCCCATTGTTCCACCGAATGCTCTAGTTAGATCCAATGCAGGGGAGTCCATGTAAGGGGAAGTCTGGGAGACATAGGGTCATATTATTGGAGTGATACTGATTTTTGGTAATAGACACAATAGCTTCTTCTATGTGACATCTTGTCCCCTGGTGGACACCAGTGAGTGTTTTGAGCGTCTTCCAACCCCCTAGGGAAGTGTGTGGGGCACCTTTGTCAAACTAACTAGTCATAACATTATCACCTATAAATATAAAGGCTTCTAGGTTGGCTACAATGGAAGAGTTTTGAGTTTTTCAGTGAATGGGGAAGTGGGAAGTTTTAATAAAATGGCTTGCCACCAAGATCTTCTCTAAAAGCCAGAGGATTTTCTGTCCCTGATTCCAACCATATTGATGTATTCTCCTCTGGTATCTCCTCCAGTTTTAGATGTAGTGAGGGGTTCTGTTTGGAGGAGCTGATCTCATGCTCGTGAAAGTTGGTGAAAATACTGAAGTGTATCATATACTCCTGTACCCTTGAGTGTTTAGAGCACAAGCAACACATGGCAAGGGCAGCACAATGTGGAGAATGGCATTCTAAGGGTCTGGAAGGTCACATGCAAGGACTCCCTCATCAAACATGGTTTGCAGTTTCCCACATATTGTTATTTGTTTCTGCTATGGGCTAGGTCTTGTGTTAGGTTATAACGAGAGATATCTTCATTTAAACATCCAGGGTCAGTTTTTCTTTCCTGTCTTCTTGATCTCCTTTAAAAATGTTTGAGCAGGGTTTGTTTTTCTGTTCTAAGATAATCATTCTTAAAAACCAAACAAAAAAACCCCAAACCCTTTGACCCCATTTTGCAGAAGAGATCGGATCCATCAGTCGCAATAAAGAAAACGAGTATCTACTTCCTGAAAGAGGCTCTCAGAGTGATGAATTATTTTAATTGCTTGGCCTAGTTTAGTTTCCAAATTGGCCCTTCTCAGTCTCCCCAGTTAATAATTCATGACTCCATGTTCAGTGGCCTCTTCCCAGTGAAGAGTGACACAGATCTCAGAAGAGAGAAGTGGTCACCTCTTCTTCATTCTCCATAGGCACTGCAGCTCTTCCCATTTTTCTATTTAAACATTGTCATCCCTTAGAAACACTACTTAGCAGTGCCTGGTTCAGAAGTGAAGCCTTTTTTCATTCAGTCCATGATTCATTTCTTCAGCTAACTTAGTTTCTGAATGACTGCTAGTGGCCAGGCACTGTGCTGGATCAGTGGTAAGCAAGGTGACGAGACTCTGTCTCTGTCCTCAAGTGGCTCCCAGGTTGGAGGGAGACATGGAGCCTTTATAATGGTCAGTGTTGGGGAAGAGTTTGAAGAATCAAGAGGAGGCAGCCAGAACCTGCTGGAGGGATAAGGGGACAGCTTCCCAGAGGAAATGGTGTCACAACAGAATCTAGGGACAATGAGAGTGACAGGTGAAAGGACTGTGTGGTAGGGAAAGATTAGGATATCCAAGCGGAGGGAGCAGCATTTGCAAAAGTTTAGGTGCATAAAAGGGGAATTTGGGAGACACACATAATTCTGTATGGTGATGCATGGGAAGAAGTGCAGGGTGATGGGTCAGACTGTGGGGAGGGGGCTGGCGTGCCAAGCAAAAGAGCCACGGGGAGTTAATGAATGACTGAGAAGCAGTGCCATTCTAACATATGCTTAGATTTGTGTTTTAGGAAGCTCTTTGTGGCTGACTTTGGGCAAAGGGATTGCCGGCTGGCCTTGAGGGGATGTCAGGAGACCAGCTAGGAGGCCACTGTCCTCCGGGTTGAGAATACTGAAGGGCTGAACTCCAGTGTTAACTGAGTTGGAGAACAGGACCAATTCGCAGGGTGACGGGCTGTCAGGAGTGAGGGGTGGGGGCAGTGAGGAATAGCTTCAGAGCTTCTTTCTGGCTCTGGTGAAGGGAGGCCGATTTGAAGGGAAGGAAGATGATGAGTCTAGTTGTGGAAGTGTTGGTTTGTGGTTCCTGAGGACCCCTCAGGAGGGTCTCTGGATCTCAGGAGAGAGGTCTGGGCTGGATGTGGAGTTGGGAGTCATCAGTTTGAAATCATGGGTTGGAAACAGATCACTCGACGAGTGAGAAGATGGAATGAGTAAAGATAAACATCTTGGGGACATGTAAGAGATGAGAGGAAAAGCAGTAGAGATGGAAGATAAGGAAGAATTCTAAGAAAGACACCAATATTGTTGATGCTATAGAGAATTCAAGAAAGATAAATACGGAAGGTTGATTTGGATTTTGCAATAAGGAGGCATTGTGGACTTGGCGGGACGGTTTTGGTGGAGCGTGACTGGTGGGAAGTCCTGCCATGTGGACAGTTTTCAGGAAGCGAGGTTGCAGGAGGAGGCAAATTTGTGGTTGTAATGATATGGAAGCATATGTCAGTGATGCCTTTGGCCTGCAGTAGTTGATTTAGGAATCCATGAAGCATTTATTTTCTTTGGTTTAAAATTTTTTTTCTTTATTGATTTTAGAGAAAGGAAGGGGGAGGGAGAGAGATAGAAACATCGATGAGACAGAACATGGATTGGCTGCCTCTTGCATGCCCCCCACTGGGAACTTGGCCCACAACCTGGGCAGGTGCCCTGATCAGGAATCAAACCAGCGACCTCTTGGTGCATGGGTTGATGCTCAACCACTGAGACACACTGGGCAGGCAATTTTCTTTGTTTTTTTAAAGTTTATAAACACTTCACTTGGCTTGACCCTGAAAGAGCCTGCTTGTCCCTCATTATCTTCTCTTCCTTAATGCATGTTTATATATAGGGCCCAGTGAATGAAAGAGAGGAAAGAAATCAAGAGTAGGGCAGGAAAAAGAAGGGATAAAGACCAGACAGTGTCTCAGGTTACTTTCATCTGCAGACCTCTGAGTCAACCCAGTGTCCCTTCTGTTCTCGTCATTCAACTTGCTAATGCAGGTGGAGAACCTTACACCCTTCCTTGCGTTGGTGGAGACTCCTGCCTGCTCAGCTGTGTGGCCCAGACAGGTGCCTCTCCCACCCTCACCTGCTACTCTACCCACTAGTCTTCAAAAATTCGTTCCTCATTGCTGCATCCTCATCTTCTGCACCTGCCCTCTTCCTGCTGTACAGAGGAAACTGAAGTCATCAGGCAGGACCTCTGAACCTCTCTGCAGCTCCTCACCTCTTGCAAGTGGTGCCCCTACTTCTGTTTATCTCAGAGGAAGCAGAACCCTTCTCTTCAAGCTGCCCTCCAGCCTGGCTGTCTCCTCTTCTGCCTTGCCCTTGAACTGTGGTTTCCCCACTCCTTACCCTGGAAACTTCTTTAGGCACCTCATCTCCTCTCGCGGCTGTAACCCTGCCACCGGCGCCCCTGCCCACACGTTCTTTATCTTGATCTAAACCTAACTCCTGCGTTCTCAACCTGCTGGACTCCTCACTGAGGGGTTCCATGGAACCATCAAATGTGGCAGGTTAACTCATCTTTCATCAACTAAGTCTGTTCCATCTTGTGTATTGCCAGCATTGTTTAATAATAATATCATCCATTAAAACCATCAGCCTGGGAGAAAATGCCTAGTTTCTCCTTATACCTAGTCTTGTATATCCACTGGCTTTTTTTTTCTTTCTCATATCTCAGTATTTTTCCTCTGCATTCCCTGTTCACCATCCCCCGTGCCATTGCCTTGGTTCAGTGCATCCTGTCTTGCATGGTCTTGCCATGGCCTTCCAGCCAGCCTTCCTCTGGCAGTTTCTCCATTTTCAGCCCTTCTTTCACCACAAGTCTGATCATGTTTCTGGTCTGCTTAAAGCCTTTCAAGCAGTTAAACTTTGCTTTCAAAATAAAGTTTATCCTTGTTTGCTTCAGATCCATCCGGATCCGATCCTTGCCCACCCTTCCAGCCTCCAACTCTTACAAGCTTCCTCAGGCATCCAGTACCCCACCCACCTGCCCTGAAGTTCTTGCCATTTGTCACCCAGCCAGTGCTCTTCCTGCATGCACCTGCTCCCTCTGCTTGCCGGGTGAGCTTCTGCTCATCCTTCAGGCCCAGTTGTACTTACGACAAAACCTATGTAATTTGCCTACATACAGTGCATTTTCCCCCATGTCAGCCTGTCAGCTAAGAGCCACAGTAGTCCTAATTTTTACACTTTAGATGCTTCCTGGATGCTATTATTACCTGGTCATGCTTAATTTAGGATAATTTAGTTTTATTCCCAGATCATTGAATTCCAAAATAATCAAGGAAGATATAGCCTATTTATTGTGAATTTATATGTAGTACAATTAGAATGAAAGTACTGAGTTATTCTAAGAGAAAATGAAAGTTGACACCTTAATTACTTAATTGCAGGTATAAAGAGAAGAGCAAATAGAAAATATTTAGTTTGAATATTTTTATTTATTTAAAATATATTTTTATTGATTTTTTTTTTAGAGAGAGAGGAAGGGAGGGAGAGATAGAAACATTGATGTGAGAGAGATACATCCATCAGCTGCCTCTTGCATGCCCCCTACTGGGGATGAAGTCTGAAACCCAGGCATGTGCCCTGACCAGGAATTGAACAAGGACCTCTCAGTCCATGGGATGATACTCAATCCACTGAGCCACACCGGCTGGGCTAGTTTGAATATTTTTAAAGAATTTATGAGAATAAGTGTGAGCTCTTTCATATCAAAGCTCCATTGATTACTCTGACTGTACACATTAGTTAGTCACCATTGGGATATACTTTTTCCTCTTCTCACCAATTCCATTTCTTGACTCCTTAATGTTCTATTTTGAAAGACTTTTAGAAAAGAGGTACAAAAACCCTTGTAACAAGATTTGCAGGCATTCCTTTAACAAGGTGATACAGAAGAGTTATGGTTGCAGTACAGAGAGAATGTTGAAATTGGTTGTAGGACCTTTCAGTAAAAATCAAGAATACTTAAACATTTTTAGAGAAATCTAATTTTTTTCCTAATTTTCATTTTATAGAGGAACAAACCCTAAAAAAATAACAATACAAAGTGATCAAAATTTTAGGGTCTTTTTCCTTTTGTGTTGTTAATCCTCACCTGAGGATTTTTTTCCATTGATTTTTAGAGACAGCAGATGGGAGGGGAGAGAGAGAGAGAGAGAGAAACAGAAACATCAATGTGAGAGAGACACATTGATTGGTTGCCTCGTGCATGTACCACAACCAGGGCCGGGGATAGAACCTGCAACCCAGGTACATGCCCTTGACCAGGAATCAAACCCGAAACCCTTTGCTATGTGGACCAATGCTCTAACTCTGGAGACATACTGACCAGGGCTCAGGGTCTTTTTTTACTTTTTTTTTTTCTTGAAGTGTGAAAGTAGCTATAATTTACTATCAATCCTTGTGTCCTCTCTGTAAAATTATTTTTCACTCTTCTAATTATTCTGAAGTAGCCATTACTGCTGTATTAACCAACATAGGAGTAGAGATGACCGCTAATACATCTTTTATTGCTCATTATTGCAGAAAAACTAAATATCTTATGCCTGTACGCCCACAGCTACATTTTTGTCAGCCTTCAGTAGGAAACCCTTTCATTTCTACATACCAACACTATTAACCATGAAGACATTCCTGCAGCTGCTCAGGCACAGAGAACAGAATCACCAGGGGCCTGGGCATCCGCCAGCATAACACCTGAACAGTGACTAGCTGCTTAACTGTCCATACCTGTTACACAGGGACCCTGGACAGATGGCAAAGTGCCATGCAGATGCAAAAAGTGATTCCACTAAGTTCCTTTGGTATTTGTATCCACTTTAGAGTCCTGGGGAACAAATCGAAGCCGAGAGTTGACTTTCTGGAGAGTAAGTCATTAATATAATATTTATAATTTATGTGGTTTATAATAAACATCAACAAGTATACCTACTTCCTAATCCTTTCACAAAGGCAACAGTTTTGTTTTTTTAAAAACAATTTATTGATATCATGAAATATAAAGTGCACACACAACATGTACAAAAAAATATGCAGCTTAATTAATTAACAGAACACATACCTATGTAACCATTGCTTTGATCAAGAAAGAGGATGAAGCCAGTCCCCCAGTCGCTGCCGCTGCCTCCTAGTGCCCCCGTAGGTACGCACTGTGCTGCCTAAAAGACTTTTAAAGTGGGTTTCTGCTCGTTTTCTGTGGGGTTCCTAAGGGAAAGCAGACGCATGGCCTTGGGGGTGGGACAGGGGCATGGTCTGAGGGCGGGTGCCAGGAGAGGTTTGGTGGAATGGTAGCATGGCATTGTTATCTGGGTTTGTTACTGTGTCTCTCACAAGCCCGAAGTCCAGGCATCCACCAGGGCCTGTGGTAATAGCTGCCATGCAGACGGCTTTTTTAGAAAAGCCGCAATGACTCGGTTTCTCCAGAGTGTGCTAAATTCTGAACCGCTCATGGGAAATGTATCTAATGCACAGTAGTAACTTGTTTCCACACACTTCCAGGACGTTAGCTTATTGCCAGTGGGTGGACAATCTCAATGAGACCCGGAAGATGCTCTCTCTTAGTGGTGGTGGTCCCTTCAGCAACCTGCTGAGGTGGGTCGTGTGCCACATAACAAAAGGAATTGTGAAACGCGAGATGCACGGCCACGGCATTGGCCGCTTCTCAGAGGAAGAGATTTACATGCTGATGGAGAAGGACATGCGGTCTTTAGCAGGGCTTTTGGGTAATGTACCACACCTTCTATTCTACATTTTCTGTCCTTACTTTTTGCATGATTAGTAAAGCACTGTTAGTTCACTGCTTTAAAGTTTGATTTTGGTTGGTTGCTTTGCCTCCATGGGTTTAACTGTGCTGGGGATGCCCCTCCAGGGGAAGCACAGCCATGTATGTCCATGGGCTGGTGAGGATGCTGAGATAGAGTGACTGCCCTTGTTCCCTGGCTGGTGGCAGGGGCTGGGCTTATGTGATTTTGTACTGGGCAGAACTTGAGTCTTAGCTATAAAGATTCATAAATATCATTTGAATTTAGGAGGTTCTATGTGTGAATGATGGGCTCTCCTAGGGACAGGGAGCCGAGCTCTCTAAGTGACTAGCCATAGAACTAGTCCTTTGGGCTGCTGACTTTGTTTGGGGAAGGTGGGTTCCACTGCCCCCCTCTCGGCACCCTCACCTCCATTCTGGAGCACATTAGGTACCTCACCTCTAGGAAGTGGGGTTTGGGATTTGTTTTGTTGAAGTCCACCTTGTGCCCCAGGCACTGGGGCTGTGCTGGGTGTGACATGCCCCCTGAGGATGACCCACTCTGACAGGCCCCTTCCTGGTCCACATTCCAGATGCTTACTGGGCCTGGAGTCCTTCCCTGCTCTGCAGCTTGCAGGGGGAGAGCCCGATGGCACACTCAGCACTCACATACACCTCTCGGCCAGCTGTGTTATCTGGGGGTGCGGAGGGGGTGGTGCTGGCTGGGCTCCTACTGACATTCAAAAGCACTGCCTGGCTTCAAGATTGACACTGTCTGGACCTTCTGGTGCTTTTCCTCTCTGAGCCCAGGTGGGCCTGCCTGATGTAGGCTTGAACGGAATTAGCCTCCAGTGTGTCTTGTTTCTTTGGAATGTTAGACTGGACTTCCAGCCTCACAGAGCAGGTGTGCAGAGGGCCATTTACTCCTTAGTAATGGCCGTGTCCGCTCCTGGATTCCTCCCTTCCTCCCCAGCTAACGGTGTTGGGAGGCCCAGCCAGCAGGCATCGAGGCACAGCAAGCCAGAGATTATGCCGGTGAAGTGTTGCTCATCTCTCACAATTTAACAGTGTGGTTCCTTAACCAGAGAGGAGTGATTGTGACCTTTTCGGAGCATTTCTGTTTGGGAGAACCGGGAGCAGCGTGCTAGCTATAATAATGATAACTGCCAATGTTTCTCTGGCATGTAATGACTTAGAAAAATGCTGTCTCCCCAGTTGTGGTGAGATGGGAGGTGAATGAATCGCTAATAGCCAGGCTGTATACCTGGCAAGTATTCAAAACAACATCACAAGCCTAGATAGTTTTTTCTGCAAAGAAAAACAGTGGGCGGCTCAAAAGCTGAGTTAGCTGGAGGTAGATTTTGTACAAGGGCCTAGGGAGGAGTCAAACTCTTTCATAGAAGCACTTTTTCTGCATTTGGGGAGGAAGAGAGAGGCTCTTTGGCTGAATACCATGGTTTTTCTTACCAAATGCGGCAAAAATCATCAACTTCTCCCTTCACGCAGAGATAGAGTTTACCTTTTATTTTTAATTGAAATTTTTTTATTACAGATATCCCTCCTTCTCCCCCCTTTGACTCTCCCCCCCTTCACCACACTGTTGTCTGTGTCTATTGGTTATGTATATATGCATGTAAGTTCTTTGGTTTATCTCTTCCTGCCGCCCTCCACCCCCGCTTCCCTCTGAAGTTTGTCAGTCTGTTTCATATCTCTGGATCTATTTTGTTCATCAGCTTATTTTGCTTATTATATTCCACAAATAAGTGAGATCATGTGATATTTATCTTTCTCTGATTGGCTTATTTAGTTTAGCATAATACGTGGAACTTACTTTTGATGCCAGATTCCTAAGAGACTCAAAATGCAAAAATGACTTTTTGTTGAGATCATTCAAGATTTGGGGAAATTGTCCACAGATGTGTTTGATTCATTAAGATAAATTAGATATCGACATTTTCGTGTAATTGACATCAGTGATTTGAACACCTCTATGCCCAGGAGCTAGGGAATACGAAGATGGTGTAGAGATCATCCCTGCTCTCAAGGAGCCTACAGTCCGGCGGGAGAGATGAGACTCTAAAGTATGAGTAGGCAATTATGGCCCCGAGCTGGTGGCTGTTTTTATTTATTTATATTTTTATGGCTTGTAAGTTAAAAATGATTTTACATTATTAAAATATAAGGGCAAAAATGCAACAGAGATTAAATGTTTGCCCTCTGGCCCCTGCTCTGAAGGAGTAATCGTGCACGAGGCGGGCTGTGGCAGGTCTTTTGACGGAGGTCTGCACCTGCTGCTCTGGGGACACAGTAGCGGCAGGGATGAAATGGTGGGGAGGACTGGGGAAGCCATATAAGAGGTGGCAGTCATGTTGGCCCAAGAAAGCAGTCATCCTAATGAAGAAAATAAGGAAGGACCCAGGTCTGTCATTTTCTAGCTTTGTGAACTTGGGCAAGTTTCTAGACTTCTCTAGGCCTCAGTTTCCTTATTTGTAAAGTGGGGACAATAATGGTGAGAAGGCTACTAATATGTGTAAGTGCTCAGAATAGTGCCTGGCATGTAGTTAGCAAATAGATAATGAGCAAATGTACAGTTCAGTGGTGACACGGTCAGGAAGGGGAGGTTCACCATGCTGTGAGAGCCCATGATGGTGGGGGTGGCTCCTAGTCAGTGCTGTTCCCTATTCAATTTTGCATGTTCCCATGCCCCCATTGGGACGGTGTGTGTGTGTTTCAAGCAGAGGTACCATATATGTAGTGAATGCCTGATTTTCACCTTATGCAAGAAGTACACACATTGTCTGTTTCCACCCTCCTCTCAAAAGGTGAGAGTCAGAAAGAGCACGGAAGAACAAAAAGGAAAAAAAGGTTAGGCTCCTGGGAAGCAGTTAGGTAGAGGCAAGAAGCCTAGTGGCCCTCACAGGAGAGAGGGAGTTCTGGAATCAGATCCCTGTGTTCATACCTTGCACCCCACGAGTTACCAGCTGTCTGACCTTACCTCAATACCTTCAGTTTTCTCATCTGCAAAATGGGGTCAGAACAATACCTACACCATAGAGTGTGAGGGCTGAATGAGAATTTAAGTAATGTACTTACCATAATAATGGGCACATCATAAATGCTAACTAAATATAAGCTGTCACCGTTATCACTTTCACAGATTTTACGCATAATGCAACATTAGGAACATTGTGTTCTGGGGGAAAAAGTATTTTTTTCTGATTTTAAAATTTCTTAGTTAATTGTAGAAATTCGGGAAGGTTAAAAAAGGTACAGATGCCTGGCCGGTATTGCTCAGTGGTTGAGCGTCGACCCATGCACCGGGAGGTCTCAGGTTTGATTCCTGATCAGGGCACATGTCTAGGTTGTGGGCCCGATCCCCAGTGGGGGGCATGCAGGAGGTGGCCAGTCGATGTTCTCTCTCATCAATGTTTCTATCTCTTTCTCCCTCTCCCTTCCTCTCTCTCTAAAAAAGCATAAAGAAGAAAAAATAAAAATAAAAAAAAGTACAGAGAAGGAAAATGCCACCCTAATCTTATAACCTATTATCAGCCACAGTTACCATTTTAGTGCATATCTTTCTAATATTTTTATGCATAATTTTGAATCATGTATATGTAGTTGTACACAGACACACACTCACAAGTTCTCAACCTGTCTTTCCCTACTTAGCACACTGCAGATATTTTCTTCTGTTATTAAGTATGCTTTAATTCAATTCTGTGTGCCTGGAAGCACACGCGATGCCATGAAAACTGATATAAGACTCACCAGCCAAAGGTCCAGTTTGCCCTCTGCCTCTTTTATATTTTGACCTATTATTAATCCTGAGTCCACAGTTATGATCTTGAGGGAGAAGGAAAATACGACAGAATAAAAATAAATATATAGTTGTGTCCCGTGTTAGCACAGAGATCTCCAATTGTGGCTATTAAATATGAGATTGAAGTAAGAATATAAGATGGAATCCAGTACAAAGTCAAAGTAACTCCACCCTTTTGCCATATAAGGAAACTGAGGCACAGAAAGGTTAAGTGAGTTGCCCTTGGTCATACAAGCAGTAAACCTGGAGCCAGGAATCAAATCCAGGCTGACTCCAAGTCCTACCATTTCTGACCCAACAGCTACCCTGAAGTTCCCTGTGAACTGTGCCTTAAAGTGGAGGGTGTTATGTCACGATGACTTCATTTGAGCATTTTCTGAAGTTGTCAGAACTGGCAAGTTAAAATGTAGTTTTCAAAGTACTTCTTAGATATGTTTTATCGTGTTGCTCCTAGAGGCTGAGTAGAGAATTGCACAGGGAGTGTAGTCATTGATTTAGATTTCTGGGGCTTTGTGAGCTGAGCTCATCCCTCCTTCCTCAGGAGGCTGGCTCCCCAACAGGGAGATGTGTTAAAACTTCAAGCTGAAGTGCATAAGTACTTGAGGAGAAATGATCTCTTTTTGGAGCTGCAGTTGAAAGAGCCAAGTAAAGTGGAATTTTTTAATGGAAGTGAGAAAATCAAGCTGATTGCCAGCCAACTATACTTGACTAATGAAAAATGTAACCCTTCTTCCCCCACCCAATCTGAAGCCTTTTATTAAGACATAAAAATGGCTAGGGAAGTCTTTATTTTTCAGAGTCCTGGTTAACACTGGGTTGGCACATGTCAAAGATCCAAATCTCTTGGTTATTTTAATAAACATCAGCATGTGATCTTAACTATTCAATGGAGTCCAGGGAGGCAAAGTAGTGCTTCCTTCCAGAGGCAGTAAAAATGAGTCACTTGCCATGCATGCTTCGTGTCACCCACATCAGCATGTATAAGTTACAGTGTGGTACAGTTTTTCAGGATGAATTAAAACTTAAAATAGTTTTTTAAAGTACATAGCTATTCCATTGATCACCTAGTTCTTAGTTAAATACTATATAGGAGATTATAAGAAGCATTTGTGATTAGTAATAGAAAATTTCTCCCCCACACGTAACCAAAAATGCCTTTGGGG